CACCTCATTATATCATAGCTGGCAAGCTCACTTTTATTTCCTGGAGAGTGGGGACCATGTCCTTTGTCCTCATTGGCTCTGAATACCAGGCCGGGACTCAGGAGATGCCAGGTGCCAATGACAACTAACAAGGTCCAGTGCCCAGCTGTCAGGAAGTCTGCCCTCAGCTCTAGCCTGCCCACCTGAGGCTCTGCCACAGCCTTCCCTTTAACACAGTGGACAAGGACTTAGGTGCTATGGAAAGGCCTCCTCCATAGGCCTACTGACAACCCTGGGGCCTGGTGAGCTTTCGATAATATGTTGGCCCGGTGCCTCAGTTTCCCCAAATGCAGAAGAGAATGCTGACAGACCCTCTCTTCCTGTGGAGCTGGCAAGACATGCTCAGACAGATGAGCAGATCCCCAAAACTCTGAGGCTCAGAATTTGGAGCAAACAGCTGTTTCCAGTTTCCATCTCTCTGTTCCCCCAATTCTGTTCCCACATTCAACTCAGTCCAACTCAGACTCCAGCCACGTTTCTCAGGGCCAAGCCTGAAGCTCTACCTAACAGCATTCTATATGGAATCCCAAACGGGCCAGCTATCTGCAGAGACCCTACCTGACCTCCCTGTCCTCTCCAGGCATTTTAAGAGACAACAAAGAAGGAATGCTATACCCAGGGAGGTGACATTCTAACAGGTTTTTGGACCTGAAGCAGTAGACCTCCACAGCACCCTGAAATCACAGTATGCATCATGCCCAACTACGTGAGCTGGGTTCAGAGCCCTTCCTAGAAGAAAAAGCAGGACATGAAGCAGAAAATTTTTTCACCTACTTCACACCAGGATCCCTTCCACCTTAGAGGATATGACTTCTCTCCTGTCTCCTCAGCTCCCCAAGCCAGGCACCTCAGGGAATCAGGAAAAACCCCTTGTTTGTTCAGAAGTCCTCAGGTGGCACATTTATGAGAGGCATGAGAGAAGCAGCAGAGTGAACTAGAACGCACACCATCACTGCTAGTTGTATGACTGTGCCTCGGTCTGCCCATCTATAAAATGGGAGTAAGACTGATCTTACAGAGCTGGTAAGAGGATTAAAGGAGTTAATTTTGCAAAGTCCTTAGAACAATGCCTGACACCCAGTGAGCATACCAGAGCCTCGTCCTAGCCTCTTGGTCTCTGCCAGATATCTCCATCCCAGGATGCCCTCCTTGTTCCTACCTATTCCAGCTCAAGGCCTTTCCTAAGTGTGCCCACTTGACCCCGGATCCGAATCACCAGCCCTGAGTTCCAGCATTCAACTTGTGATGTGACTTCAATCTATCCCCAGTTCCCCTGTCAAAGGCTAAGCTCTCCTCCTTCCCAGATCTGAGGTCCCCTGGCTCTCAGTCCTCCTTTCTGAGAGTACCAGTCACATGATTCATCCATGCAAACAGAAGAGCTGTGGGTAGAAAGGTAAGAGACTACAGAGAGGGCTGGGGATATAGCTGAGTCGGTAGAGTGGTTGCCTGGCATGCACAAGGCCCCTGGTTCAATCCCCAGCATGACCACCAAAAAAAAAAAAGTCTATAGAGACCCCCATAGTCCCAGCTTCTTCTTCCTCTCCAAATCCCTGATCCCTAGGTTGAGCACCCAGCAACCACCCAAGGGTATAGGCTGAAATGAATCCCAGGCTGTACACCTCTCCAGAAATGGAGAATCTCCATTCTGGGGCAAGGGAGAGTGAATAGAGGGGACAAAAATCAGATAAGTGGCTACAGAGGGCTGGGGCCCAAGATAAAATCAGCTACTTAAAATCTGTTTTCATGAACCAGCCCAGATTTCCACCAAATAAAGCAAAGGAAATCATTTGCCCTCAACCCACAGTGACCCACACAGACTCCACACACTGGAACACCCCAAGGTGTAGAAGCCTGACCTCCAGCCACCTGTACTTTCTTCACTTCTCCCCCACCCCCAGGGATTGAACCTAGGGATGCTCAACACTGAGCCACATCCCTGGTCCTTTTTTTTAATTTCTTGTTTTGAAACAGGGTCTCACTAAACTGCTTAGGGCCTCACTAAGTTGCTGAGGCTAGCTTTGAACTTGTGATCCTCCTGCCCTCAGCCCCCAAGCTGCTGGGATTACAGGCATGTGCCACTGCACCCAACTTCTACTTCCCTTTTTCACATCCCACTGGCTCTCTCAGATTCTTGCAGCAATTTGCACAACTGCTTTTGAGGAACAAAAATAAAATCCTCAAAGGCGCTTAAAGATTAAAGGGGCTCCTGTGCTAACTGCAATATCCATCTCTTTTTGCCCAATCCCATCCTTCCCACCTGGCTCCGATTTCCTGAGCATCAATTACATGCCAAGCCCTGTGCTCAGTGCTCCAGATAGAGCAGCAGGCCATTCAGTCAAAGTTCCAGACAAAGTCTTAGAAGCCAGACAAAATCAAGTAAACAAAGTTAGGATAATTTTAACAGTTATGGCCTCTGATAAATATAATGAAGAAAGTGAACCAGATGCTATAATGAATTACAGGAGAGGAGGCCCCTCTACCTATACTGGGAAGGCATTTGAGGAAGTTATATTTAAGATGAGACCTGAAAAGTAAGGAGCACAGCCAGCCCAGTGAAGGCACTGGGAAAATCCTCAGGCAGAGAAGACAGCACAAGCAAGCAAAGGCCCTGGGGCAGGAAAATGCCTAGGCTGTTGGACAGACAGATATGATTCAGATGTCTGTCAGGGAGCATACAAGGAGATAGTGGTCAATATAAGGCTGGGGAGGTCAGCAAGGTCAGATCACAGAGGGTCTGAATGACCAGGAGAAAGTGCAATAGAGAGCCATCAATGGTTTTAGTTGAATAAGGTGATATAATCAAAAATTTCAGCATTATTTTTGTTAAAATAGATCAGAGGACACATGCAGATGGGAAAAGCATTAGCCTATTTGCCCATTAGCGGCTACTCTCTGCTACTATAGCATTCAGACAACACTTAAAAGATGCCTTGGCCTGGGGCAGGAAGCCTAGGGAGGTAACCTGGGGTGGTAACAAGGAGTCAGAGCATGGAGAACAGTACTGATCTAGATTTTGTGGAAAGTACTAAAAGGACTTCCTCTTGGACTGGATTCAGAAAAAGAGGGAAAGGAAGGAGTTGATGCCACTTGTCTTAAAAAGGTGAGTAGATTCTAAACAACACTCAAAAGGCCTGGAGAGGATCATATCTGGGGAGTGCAGTCTGGGTTCTGTTCCATCCACATTAAGTTTTTTGTCAACCAGGACATCATAAATCAGATAGGTGGCTACAGAGTGGCTGGGGCCCAAGATAAAATCAGCTACTTGAAAACATGTAAGATCTGTGTGTTTATGAATTAATACTTGCTTTTTAAAATCCTAAGGAAAAATGAAAACTGGGGCAAGGGAGAGTGAATAGAGGGGACAAAGGGGAAAGCAAAGCTGGGGAGTGAGGAGAAAGGAGGGGACTGAGGACAGAGATGGGGCATGCAGAGCCTACAGCATGTAGAAATGAGTGAAGGGGTTGTCGAAGAAGAAGAAGAAAGAAGAAAGAAGAAGAAGGAGGAGGAGGAGGAGGCGGCAACTAAGGAAGAGGCAGCCAGGAAGGGGAAAAGAAAACCAGGAGAAGTCAAGGAAGGACACTGATTCTAGGAGGAGAATGGAGAGAGGTGGGCAGAGAATGGAAGGGTGTGCAAAGAACGAGCCCTGACTGCATGAGCTGCAGTTTCAGGGAAGTTTCCCAGTCAAGTGGGCTGCAAAACAGAAGGGATGCTCTAAAGGAGCAGGTATAGTCAGCTCTCCAGAGAAGTTCCACTATGAAGAGAAGTGGGTCCTAGCTGAAGGGGGAGGGAGATCAAGGCAAAAGGGGGACTATAAAATGCGAGAGGGAGCAAAGTCTGTTCTTATAGTGTAAGAAATGACCCAAGGGGAAAGAAGCCACTTCTAACACTGAAGAGGGAAGGTAACTGAGGGATGGGCAACAGCGAAAGGATCTTGGAGCCAGAGGCCTGGAATTCAGGAATTGAATGCTCCTAGCTGAATAACAATCTTTAAAGGGGACAGAAGCAACGGAATGCAAATGTGGGGCTTACCCTACACACACCTTCAGAGAAGCACCAGATGCACGCCTACCTGTCCCTCCATTCATGCCCAGTCCCTCTGAGCCCTGGCACCTGCTGTTTGCCCAACCACAGCCAAGTTGCCCCCACGGACTGGAACGTAATGTGCTACGACCAACAGGTTCTGCAAACAACCTGTGGGTACAGCTCACTGTACATGCCACCCACCGCGCTTATCACTTCGGGCACTACCCCTCCTCTTGCAAGCTCCGAGGGAGTCCGTGGGCCCCTCACCGGCTCTACAAGAGCCTCCGCCTCCATTCAGGGCGGTGGTTTTCCTCAACTCCCCCGTCCCGGACAAAGTAAGCACTCCAACACACCCTACCCCTTTCCGAACCTGCTCCTGCCAAGCCCCGCGCAGATCGTGAGCCCCTAGTTGGCCCTTCCAAGAAAGCTGCTCCGCAGTCCGCCCGGGCCCTTCAAGGAGGCCACCTGGACGCTGCCCGGAGCCAGGAGCCAGGGTGGCCCGCCTCTCCCCGGGTCCCTGCGGAGCTTTCTCTTCTATTCCCAGCGCCCACCCTCCAGGCAGCCCGAGTAGTCTCCCGGCGTCCGCGCCCGGCTTTGTCTGCGCCCACGGAGCGCTCCTGCCCGGCTCCCCAGGGGCTTTCGTCCAGCACGCAGCCGGCGGGTCCGGCCTGCCCTCCACCCCCCGGCGCCCGGCCCGAGAAACCCCCGCCCCAGGATCGCCGCCACCTTCCTCCACACTGTCTTCCCCCATCGGAGCCAAGGGGCGCGGCGACCACCGCTCTCCGCAAGCCTCCAGGGACGCAGCGCACCCCAACCCTCATTCAGTGCCCCCCGCTGGCCACCGGAGCTCCGGGCCCCTCACCCTCCCGCAGCGGCCACAGCCCCTGCCAACGCCAGACGGAGATTGGGGGCCGGGCCGGGGAGCGGGTGCTCGGTACCTTTCCCTGCTGAGCCGGGGAAGTGAGTCTTCGACTAGTGGCCTCGGCCTCCTCCGCCTCCCCTCCTCCGCCAGCCGTCTGGCTTCCTCCTCCAGCCGCCGCCGGGACCGTAGGGGCCCGAGCCAGCCGCCGCGGCCTGTGTGGGGCCCCGCTCCGCCTCGAGTCCCCGGCCCACCCCGCCCGGTCCGCTCGGGCCGGCCCTCTGCTCCGCCTCCGGGCAGGGACGCGCCGAGCTCCGCCCCCGGACCGCCCCTCCGGGGGCGGGGAAGTCGAAGGCCACTGAAGCCGAGGATTGAGGTGCCGCTACTTCGCCCCGCGCTGCCACCTGGGCTCACACCCCTTGGTTCAAGCATAGCTCCAACTTACTCACTCATCCCCCAAAGAAAAAGTAGCCCGCCCAGCCTCGTGCAAGGCGTAACGCAAAGTCTAGGCCGTCTGCGGGGCGACCATCAGAGCCAGGACACCTACCTTGGTTAACCCAAGGAATTAGGAACCGACCTTTGAAGATGAAGGTAGCCTCTCCTCCCTCCGGGTTCTACTTTCACTACTGTGGCCCTGCACGGGATCTTAACTGGAGTCAAATGGCTAGTTTCCAAGGGCCGCCTCCGAACTCAACCCTCCATCCCACCCCACCTCAGCCTTGGAAAACTGCCACGCATCAGTCTCGAACCCTAAACAATAGAGATGGGTGGGCCGGCACTCAAATCCCAGCCTGTCCTTTCACAGGCCAGGACTGTGAGCAGAAGTGATGACCTTTTTAAGAAAGTATCTTTTACTGGGCCTGGTGTTGCATGTCTGTTAAGACCAGCGTCTCTGGAGGTTGAGGTAGGAGGATCACAAGTTTGAAGCCAGCCTCAGCAACTTAAGAGTGTGTTTCAAATTTTTTAAAGGAGGGGATGTAGCTCAGTGGTTCAATTCCTGAGTTCAATCCCCAGGATCCCCCCATCAAAAAAATCATATATGAATGAAAAAGTATTTTTTTTTTTTACTGTGACTCAGTGCTAGAAGACCGACTTAATAAAAGCTAAAGCAAATGATAAATATGTGGCTCACTTGTTTTTCCTTTAAAAAATCAGAATTATTTGGAAATTATTTGTTTTCTATTTGAGATTCTGCAAGCACTGCTTTCCTATAGATTTACTCTTCCTAGTTTAATGGAGGGGAACATTTGTTTGAAAATTTCATCCTATTTAACCCTGGACTGCCAGACACCCATCCAAGGAACACAAGCCTTTGATGGAAACAGGTCCCTATCCCGACTGCATCTTAGTCTTGGGGGAACATACCAAGGAACAAGCCCAAGGGCAGAGTACAGATCAGAATGCTTGAAGCCAGGAGGGTGGCCCTGCAGAAATGAGGTTTGATGCTCCCCTGCAAGAGGGAACCACTTGGGGACAGGCTTCATATCAAGGGTAACTCAATTTCAGATGAGGTTTCTTCTCAGAAGAAAGGCCTTCCCCATCTCTCCATTTCTGCTCCTTTTAGCTGTTGCCTTCACCTAGAAGCTCCTTCTCCCCACCACTCCCCACAAACTCCTATACCCCTTTGGAGTTACATGTCAGGTTAAACATCCCCCTCCACCATGAATTCTTCCCTGTCACCATGAAGAGCAGAATAAACAGGGTTTTTTTTGTTTTTGTTTTTGTTTTTTTATGGTACTGGGGATTGAACCCAGGGGCACTTAACCACTGAGTCACATCCCCAGCCCTTTTTTGTATTTTCTTTAGAGATGGGGTCTTGCTGAGTTGCTTAGGGCCGCACTAAGTTGCTGAGGCTGGCTTTGAACTCATGATACTCCTGCTTCCTCCTTCCGATCAGCTGGGAGTGCTCCACCATACCCAGCCAGAATAAACTTTGGTGAGTGAATTTTCAGGGTTAGATTCTGGGGTTTGAATTCTGCCTCCATTGTAGCCCACCTGAAAGTTTAATAAATGGCACCTATTCCAAAGAGTTATTATATTAAATAAGATTATTAATATGGATTGGATGGATTGTGAATGATAGGAAATGAATTAATTTGGAGTAAGCAAACAGGAAATTTATGCGCTCATATAATGGAAAACTCCAATAGTATGACTGATTCAGGGACCCAGAGACTCAAAAATTATCAAGACTTGATATTCTCTTCCCCATCTCTCCATTTCTGCTCCTTATAGCTGTAAATTAGCTGTGATTCTCACAGCCCAAGTCCTCATTTCTCTTGGCAAAAAGCCAAATTATGCCAAGTTGGCTCTGATTGGTTCATGTACCATCTACAAACCAATCACTGAGGTTGTAACTTTCAGACTGAATGGCATACCCATCCTAAAGCCAAACCCATCTAAACCATGTGGACTGGAACTGAGAGAGATTTCAGGGCATTGTTTACCATTAGATGGTGAATGGACCCAGAGCTATGTACCAAGGACACACAAGAAATTCCCTCCAAAAAGTATTGCCTATTATTGAAGACCTTCATTATGTTTCATGGGTACCAATACTTTTTGAACATTCTTCTGTGTTTGGGGAACTTTCCATTTCATGAATCCTTCTTCCTACCTGTACTCTAAGTCAGAAACTCAGAGACTTTCTTTTCCAGTCTTCTGATGATGCTGGCAACATCCAAGCCCTGCCAATGATATGCATCATCGAAAATTTGCATGTGGAAGTGAGCAACATAAGGAACCAGGCACCACCCAGAAACCACCAGGAGGAGGCTAGAAAGAGAGAAAATGGAGGTATCTGACTTTAGTGGCAATAGTGGCAGAGGTGCTAAACCACTTGCCAATAAATGAAATGCATGTTTCAGTTGCCTTTTGCTACTTATTTCTCACAATTCTTTGGGTTGACCAGACCCAGCTGGACAGTTATGCTATAAATAATGTTGATTAGGGACATCCAATGGAAATTTGTCTGGGGTTGGAATTAAAATGACTTCTTTCTCCATGGGACCTCTCAAGCAGGATGGCCCAGACTTCCTTACAACATGGCAGTTTGATTTCCCGGAAGATGACAAAGGAATCTACCAAGCATCTTAAGACCTAGGCCCAGATCTGCCAAGTCATGATTTTGATCATGTTCTATGGCTAAAAAAAGTCACAAGCCCAGCCCAGATTCAAAAGGAGGGTAAATCAAGTCCAGCTATTGATAGAAAAAGTGGAGCTGCATATTTCCTAGGGACCTCATACCACAGATTTGATGGCCTAAACAACAGAAACTTATTGCAGTTCTGGAGGGCAGAAGTTCAAGATCAAGGTGTTAGTGGGGTTGGTGCCTTCTAGGAAAAAGAATCTGTTCCACGCCTCTCTCCTAGCTTCTGAGGGGTTTCTAGCAATCTATGGTCTTCCTCAGCATTACCCTGGTCTCTGCTGTCATCTTCACGTGATATTCTCCATGTTTCTAGCTCTCAAGTTTCCTCTTCTTATAAGGAAACCGGTCACATTGAATTAAGGCTCATCCTACTGACTTCATTTTAACTTGATCGCCTCTGTAAAAAATGCTGTTTCCAAGTATAATCAGACTCTGAGGTATGGGGGATTACTACACCACTATGTTTTCAGGGGAAGATCAATACACCCCATAACAAATATGCACACAAACATAGAAGGAATCCTTTATACCATCTTTGCAGATAACCTACCACAAAGCAGGAGCCCCCAGGAATACTTTTGTTTGGAAGTGGTGTGCTGGGGATTGAACCCAGGGGCACTTTACCACTGAGTCACATCCCCAACCCTTTTTATTTATTTATTTATTTGTTTGTTTGTTTGTTTATTTATTTATTTATTGTTATTTTGCTGTCTCAAAAATGACACTCCTTGCAAAATCACACCAACCACTGCAGCAGGCTTGGGTATATGTTTTGCTCTCCCACCAAGGGAACAGGAGAGAGGCATGGAACAGATTCTCCTGCCTAGAAGAAACCAGAGGTATCTGGCATTTCATCTTCATACTTGGTATGCAATCAGGCCAGGAGATCAGGTGCCTGGAAATCTCCAGTTGGCCTAGCGAATTCCAAGAACTTCATCAGAATATCAATGGCCCTGTAACTAGACTTTCTATTTATGCGGGGTTTGCTCATATCCCAGTTTTTTGTTTGACACTTTTTGTTATGTTCAGGTCCTTATCTCAGAGTTTAGGAACACCTTGAAAACAGAACACCATCTTTTTTGCCTTAGGTCTCCCAATGGCTCTATTTTAATGTCCATCACTACCCGCATCTGTTCTCCCACACACCTGCTTCCTACCTCATCCATATCACCAATTCAGAAAACTTCATCCACCTGCAGCCCAACCCTGGACAGTAGCCACTGCACAGAAAACCAAGAAAAACCAAACTAGGAGTATGTGGCAAATCACATGAATTAAGGAGAGGCTCAGACAGGGGAAGCAGAGCAGAGAGAGAATGTGGAAAAGGTACTGATTCCTTAAGCCCTTTGCCTTCCTCCCCAGTGCAAAATAGGAGCATTGGACCAGATGCTCCTTCTAGGCACACCCTTTCTAGATTCAGAGATGTCCCACACCCTTCAAAGAGCTGCACACTGTGAACCAACTTAACTCAGGACATTTTTCTGACCCCTGATGTCAGCACCATAAGAGGCAAACTTGGCCCTGAAGACTGTCCCAGATATGGAAACATGGAGAACCCTGGACCTCCTTGGCTCTGGTGAGCCAGACAGACCTGGCCATGGCAGGAGTGTGTATGCCCATTATGTCAGTGTCCCGGTCCCTGTCTTCCCCCTGCAGGAGCCATGGTGGATGGGTTTTCTGACCACAACCTTCTGTGTCAGAAATAAGTAAACAGGATGGGCTGATGGCTGCTCCAGAAGCAGATGCCACATACCATCTAAACAGGAAGCACTCAACCCACGCAAGGGCTATCTTCACTGCTTCCTAATGGAGGAGAAGGAGCAAGAGAGAAAAGGGGGAGGGAATGAACAAACAAGAACACAGAGAATATGACAGAGAGGCCATGAAGTAGACAGAAGAAAACCACAGCCCACAACTCACAGGTGCCAAAACCAAGGTCTTGGGATGCTGGGTTTCCTCCAAGTGCTCGATGTCCCCAAAGGTAACCCCCCAAGTGTCCCTACTAGCCAACCTCCCCTGCCTTTCACTGGTCACTCCAGCCCCTGATACTGGCCAGCCCTCCTTACATGTGACCTCCTGCCCCAGCCTTCGATTCTAAACCTGCCCCTTATCTCATGGA